CTGAACTTGACGAAGAGCTGATTGCGTATGTTTCTGGAGACATGCAAGGAACGATTGAAAGCAGCTGGGTATGGCAAGGAAGCGCAACAGGTTCTCAACTCGAAACGATGTCCCCCCAACTCAACAGTCCCACCGCATATCCGCGTCCCGAGATGGAGATTACGGAGGATTGGGAAGGTTGGGCTTGGGTTGAGCAGAGCGTACGGTATTTGAGTGAGAGACAGCAGCAGCAACAACAACAACAACAACAACAAAAAGAATTACAGCAACAACACCAACACCAACAAGAACAACACCATCATCACCATCATCTTAAGCCAGCGGAATCGTCTTACCTGGGACTTGACGCAGCAGCCACCAGCTCTGATGCAACCACACCCCAGTCAAGCTCATCTCATTCGCGCATGACGATCGCCAGTATCATTTAAGTGGTAACGCATAAAATGGTTGGGCACGGCACTCGGTGGGGTTCGTTGTCATCTGGCTCTTTTACCAGGTCAGGTCCAGTCTCTCAGAATGAGCTCGTTTTGGTCGCACCACAGCCGAACTATCATGCCTGAGGCAGACATATCCCATCCGAGCAATCGAGCGAACGGGATTTTGCTGTACCAACGCCATGTCATAATATCTTGCCCGTGGGAGCTCTTTTCACGTCTCTTTATCAAAGCATGTGAGATGAAGTTATGGATTACGAAACAGCTTTTCTTTCTCCTTTTCTTTCCTTTCTCCATGATTCACTACTATAATATTTAGTATATTGTTCGCGTAGATATCCCTCTTGTTGGTTGGACAGAACCCCTTTTGTACAGAGTATGTGTACACGCATAGGCGATTGAGTTTTTTTAATAGATGACACTATCCCTACACTGTTCTTGAACTCAAACTTGATGAGACGTGTCCTAAGTCAACTCCGTTCATTGTCCAATCTCTTGAATCACAACAACAATACCATCTTCGCTACCATACCCCACGCCCCCCACCATTTACAGTACTAGCAACGTGATATTTCTCCCCGCATCCGAAAAATAGTCTTCATTAAAGAAAGCAAAGCAAGAAAAGAAAAAAGTAGGATGACAAGCGAACCAAAGGTGGGTTAGGTACAAGAACTAGGCCTGAGAAGGCAGGGAAACCTAGGTTTCTAGGTTGATACTCCGGCCGAAGCGCGCATAAAGGGCGACCTTGAGTTGCTGCAGCTCCTCGCGCAGGTCGCCCAGTTTCTCCTCCAGCTTGCTCACCTCGGCGTCGATTTGCTCGGTGGAGGTGGCGAGGAGGGACTGGGCTTCTTCCAGGGGAAGGTGGAAGAAGGAGTCACCAATCTTGTAGCTGCAGTTGGGATGTCAGCGGATCATAATGGGGATTAGAAATTGGAGATGAAGGATGAGGGGGAAGGGGGGAGGAGGGTAACCACTTACGGAACGAGATCATCTTCATCTGCGAGTTCGAGCTCGGTGGAGATTTCTTCGAGATCTTCTTTGTCTTTCTGTTTTTGATTTCTCATATCAGTTTTTAGTGCTAACTATTCAGGTGGAGGTTACGTAGTGACGACGTTGGCGGGGTGAATTTTGGGATAGAGAGAGGTAGGAGAACGCAAGTCTGAAAGACAACTAAAGGGCTGCCGAGCTTACCTGCTTCAGTTTCAATTGCTCTTCCAACACAATTTCCCGTTGGTGGAGGCGACTGAAGCGGTTGATTTTTTCTTGGTCCTCGCGGCGGACTTCGTTGTCCTCGCCGCGGGCTTCATCTTCTTTTGAGAGCTGGTGGGGGGGGGGGGGGGTTTGTTTTTTTTTTTTTTTTTTTTTTTTTTTTTTTCTTTTTTTTTTTTTTTTTTTTTGGTTGGTGAATTAGATGGGGGAATGATTTTAGTAGATCTATCAAAATGAGAAGAAGGGTGCTTACCATACGAGTTTGAATCATTTTGGAGAATAGACGGGTGCGAATTTCGAGGGGTGGAGAGGATGATTGATTGATTGATTGATTGATTAATATTGGGATGGGGATTTGATGCTGGGGAGGTTTCTTCTTTGGGCTGATGTGGCCCGTGCACAGAGTGACTTGGATAACCTAACTACAATACGGGCGGACAGAGTAAGGTGAAGTGTCAAATAAACTGTGTTCTATAGACCTGTAAAAAGTACTACTGAATGCTATTGATAGTAAGGTAGTCTATTAGGTCTCTTTGTCTATCTATCTAGTATTCTCCTTCATGCTGCTGTGCTTTGTTGCTAGTGGCCAAGCTCTCGGTTCCTTCCTTGTATGCTTGCTAACTTGCTAACCTTCTATACTTCATCCTCACTGAATGCTAAGGTGACTCTTTGGTGCATCTGAATTGTTCTAAGCACATTTCTTCTCAACTCCCTCGTATCTCTGCCGGATGAACCTCCAGTCTCCTTTTCACATTCTGCACATGCGGCACCTGGTCGGGTGACATCATTGCCGTCAGCTGCTCGCCAGGCGCAGTGCCAATACAAGCCTTCCTCAAGCACGCGAGTTGCCTTCTCTCTCACACTGTCTCCTTCCTCCCTCGCTATTGTTTAATCCTTCGAAGCTCTCTCTTCCTCTCTCTCTGCCTCATTGCAAGGATTGCATTGTGGACGTTCTGCATGCTGACTTAGTCGACTTCCCTCTCGGCCCGCCCTCGCCTCGGAGAAACGAAGAGCTCCGGCCACCGCATCATCGCCGACAACTGATCGAATCAATTTCCCAGCCTGCCTTCTCGCCTGTTCATTTTCTGAACACGGCTTCTCCAGTTCACCACCTCATTTGACTCCCCACGAGGAATACTACTTTATTAACTTCGTCGCTGCTATCTGAAAATTTTCACGTTTTCTACTTGCGAGACTGTCGAGCTGAGCTCCGGTGACCAACGCAATCACCCTCTTCAGCCAAACGCGGCCCTGTCAGCACCACAATCAACAACATCCACAATGCGAATACCGTCCAACCTATCCTCTACCCTTCTCTCCTCCGCCCTGCTCCTCCCCAGTCTGGTCTCTGCCTTGGGCAATTTCAACTGCAAAGACATAATCGTCGATAAAATCAAATATGACCTCAGCCCTCTCGGCGGCGTACACACCCTCTACAACGTGGTCGAGAAGCCCGAGGAATCCGCGACAGTCAACACGACATATGTGCTCAACATCTGCAGTATCCTGGGGAAGGCTGCCAACCGAGAGCACCTGAAGTGTGGAACGTCCAAAAACAGTGCGCTTCTCCCCTTGCCAACTTGCCCGCGAATCTATCCTCTTCTCTTGCGTCGCATCCTCCCATGCACTAACCTCTCGATCATATATAGTCTGCGGCTTCGAATACCGACGCCACGCGAACAGCAGCGTCGAAATCGACCAGGGCTTTCCCATCGCGGGCTACGACCACCTCGGATCCGGCAGCAAAGACACCGAGGTCACTCGCTTAAAGGAATCCGACTCATCCCGTGAAGGTCTCCTGATCAAATTTGCCGGTGGCAGCTATGAGGACACGACTGGCAAGAAGCACGCCGCCAAAGCCGTGATCGAGTTCAATTGCGACCCCGACCGGTCGGGGTTGGAAGGTCTCCAGACCACGAACGAGCCGGTCGGTAGTGAGGCTGTGTTGCGCGCTCGCGAGGAAGAGGGCAGCGGCAACAGAAATAGTACCAGCAGTCTTCAGTTCAAGAGCTTCGGTCCCGTCGATGACGACACCTACGTGCTGCGGCTGGACTGGGCGACACGGTACGCGTGTGACAAGTACCGAGATGATAACAAGGGGGACTCCTCGAGTCATTGGGGATTCTTCACCTGGCTGATTATTCTGTATGTCTTCCCGTTTCCGTCCCCTTCTCTACTTGTGCCTTTAATACCCTGTCGTGGAGAGGTGAAACGCTAATCAACTAATCCCCGGATAATACAGTCTCTTCCTGTGTATCGCTGCCTACTTGATCTTCGGTTCCTGGCTCAATTATAACCGCTACGGTGCCCGTGGGTGGGATCTTCTCCCGCACGGGGACACGCTGCGCGATGTCCCCTACATCTTCCAGGATTGGGTCCGTCGGGTGGTCAACACGTTGCAAGGGTCGGGGTCGCGAGGCGGCTACAGTGCGGTTTAGAAGGTTGTCTATTTCGGTACGTGTTGTATTAAAGGAAGCTGGGAGGTGGGGTGCAAGAAAGCGTATGTTATAGTTGAGGAGCCGGCATACGGACGGATTCCAGGTATACTTCCATACTTAGGCAGGGATTGCCCTTGTGTGGTGGAGTGGTAGTTATGGTGAATTGGAAACTTTTGAATATGATACAAATGGCTAGTTTTCATTGCTCTGATACACGAGACAATTGATCATGATGATCGATGTATATGCTCCTTGGATACTCCTAGAAAACAAGTGGTAGCTGGCGAGCAGAAGGGGCACAGGGAGGCTGTTGATTGCAGACTTTCAAGGCACCAGCTACTACCATACGGATAGCTCATAACTCACAATCATCACCACTGACTACCAGAAGAATGAATGGTTATCAATTTCCCTTCTCAGAATCTAGAATCCTCCACAAAAGAGATAGTCAAGCTTCGAAATCCTCAAAGTGATGGTAACAATTTCCCAGACCCTTTCGTGATCATGACTGACAAATTGCAGTTGATCACAAAGAACAAACAACACAAACAAATCAAACACAAGCACAAGATCATCATCCATCGACATACAAACATGACATAGTGTGGTATGCATACTTATGCAGATCGTATGCACATCGAAATCGCGTCATCAAAGCTAAGATATCGTCAAAGTTCATCAATCAAGGCGGGAAATGATCACACAATTGAAACAAGGGATTCTGAAGGGGACAGATTGATCCTAATAATCTGATCCGCCGCCCCCTCTTATTCCCCGTTCACCTGGTTTGCTCTTGCATTTTCCACACCGCTGGTTTTCTTTTCTTTCTTCTCGTTTCGTTAATGCAAACTGTACTCCCCTCCAAAACCCTCGTCTTCACCCAACATCATGGATTGAGGTAGGTTCGGGAAGCTCTTTCCTAAACCTTCATGGCGAAGTTCTTCAAATACAGATAATCCGCCATGTTGGCATCCACGGTCTTGCGGATGAGGGCAGCGCCTTCGGGCCCGTATTTCTCCTGCCATTCGGCGTCGAATTGGGCCTCGGTCTTCTGGGCTCGGGGCTGAGTTTGTGGTGTTAGTTTTGAGGAGTCCAGTTTCACCAGCTGAATGGGTTTGAGTGTATGTGAGAGGAAAGAGAGAGGAGAGAAAGGTAGGTGGTGCGTGTTCTGGTGACTTGTCTTCCTCCAGCTCTCTGGATCTCTTTCTTTCTTTCTTTGTTTTGTGACGTGACGTAGGAGAGAGGCAATGAACAGAATAAAAGGGAGAATACTAACATGTTTCCTCCCCACCAAGCCTGTCGACTCGATAGCATCGTTATGGAATCCCCTCCACTTCTCGAACGCGGCCCGCGCGCACGCGTGATCGGCCTCCGTATCCCAGCACAGCATTGAGGGATCGTACTTAAGGCCCACGCTACGGCAGAAGGCCTCGATCATCGGGGCCGGGTTGTCGAGCATATCGTCCGCGTCGACGACGCAAATCTCCACCTCTTCCTCCCTGCCACCGCTGCTCCGTCCGGTCATGCTGGCGGAGGAAGCCGAGGACGACGGACGCGAGGAGGCGACCGACGAGGAGTCGTGCTCCGTCTCGTCATGCTCGTACGTGGCGACCCGCGGGCCGACCAGACACGTGTTCCGCAGATAGTCGAACGTCCGGCGGAGCTCGTCGTACCCGGCCTCGGCAGGGTCGTAGTTCTGGAACCCGGTCACCGCATCCAGCGGCGGGATCGTGCAGCGGTAGTACGAGGGGACACTATAATGCGGGTCGCGGATGAGGAAGGCAAAGTGGAACTGCGACAGGAGCGCCCGCGGCATCACGGTCGGGTTGCCGGGTTCCGCCTCCGTCGCGTACGGGTACGGCGTTGCCTTCGACTCCTCCGGCTGCTCTGTACCTACGCCGCGCTTGATCCTGTGCAGGGATGGCGCGATGCTGGCGGGTTGGCCGTGCGGCGGAAGGAGGTAGTGGATTATGTCCTTGATGAAGACGCGTTTGCCCTGTTTTTTGGGGTAAGTATCTTGCCAGGTTTGTGGGACTGTGAATGTGTGGATGTGTCGGGACACATGGTGGTAGGCTGGGGGAGGGAGAAGACAATAGGGCAGAAAGAACAGGCTTAGTAGGCTGATGCATGCTCGCCAGTCCATCCGGTTGTTCCTGTGGTTCATCTCCCTGAGCGTGTAGGGGAAACGAAACAAGACACTCGCAGGTGATCCACATGCAGGCACGGAAGAATCATGCTTGTAGATGCATCACGACGGCAAGCAGAATCTTGCTCCTGCGTTTTCCCCGGATTTCTCTAATTTGGCAGACCGGGCCCTCATTCGAATGGATTCGTCGACGATCTCAAACTACGATGGCCGAAGGGGAGGGAACACAGTGCTAGGGACAACGGAAAGAGAAGTGGTGAAGAAAACAAAACAGGCAAGAAAAAGGGTCGGACCTCAGATGATTCGCGCTCGATGCGATCCAGGACGGTCTTGAACGTCGACTGGCTGAATCCGCTGTCCAGACGGGCCTGTTCATCGTCGGCGAATCTGGTCGACAACCGCTCCGGTCCATAGTAGAAGGCATCACCAAACGGCTCGTGGACACACTGGATGGTATCTCGCTGAGTCATGAAGACCTAATGCAACCAAGATTAACGAAATGTTACAACCCAAGAGATGAGATGGGGTGGGAGAAGTTGCAGGGAACAACATACTCGCTCAAAGGCCGTGGAACACGCGCGGGGGTGAGTAGCCACAAAGATGGGCTTCTGCAACATCGTGACGGAGTATTTTCTCCGGTCGATGGTCGAATAATGACACGATAATCCTTTTTGGACTGCTGATCTGTTCGATCGCTGGGAAATCGGTTTTTCAGATTTCCTCACTGCAAGTTTCAAGTACAAGATCTATCGACCAGGGAGTTTCACCACTGGCGTAGGTACTCGGGGATTATAGGACGTAGCGCCCTTTTTCTCGTCCGGTTTACTGGATTTCGAGGTGGGTGGAATGTTGTAGTGTATGCTTGGACGAACCTATTCAAGCAGTTTTGCAGGCACACCTAGTTGGGAGGATTTCTTCCAGGCTGCAAGTTGATTGAAAGATAGAGGAAAGAAGGGAGGAGGAGGGGAAGGCAGAATGAGGGCTCGCGGGCTTTATACTGGCTATGGATGTGTCAGTCAACAACAATTTTTATTATCCGACTCCAATATTTTAACTCAATCAAGCCATTCAAGAGGCGAGAGCAACAGGTACTACTGCTGTTTAGGCTTACGAAAATTTACTGGAGGTTTCCCACCAGCGAACGAGGAACAAGAGGGATTCGAGTGAAACCGGGCAGATTGACCCGTGGATCGTACCCCGATAGAGCTGGCCGGCGGCGGACTCTTACTACGAGCCTATTCTAATCCACTTTGTTTCCTGTGTGCTATTTTAATTAGTAGGTTAGTAAGACTTGGGTACATCTAGTTGCTCCATCATTCCATCTCAACAAAGACCGAACCATTTAGTTCAGCGAGTAGTGTGTGTCTCTTCATCCAGTCCCCCTTGGCGTATTTCTAGGAGGACAGCTCAACGCATTTTTAGCGATTGAAATTTGCCTGGCAGTTCAAGTGAGTGCTGTTCGGTTAATCCCGAAGACACGTCGAGGGGAGGAATTCGTGGTGATAGCGATCATGAATAATGCAAGGCATAAAGTCAATAATAATCCCGCATGCATTCGAAGAGAAATGACTTCCTCCCCCCCTCCCCCCTCCCCCCTCCCCCAAATCTGTATTGAAACTTTACGGCTTATCTGCCCTGGATTCGATTCGCCTGGCGGCGCTCGCTTGAAGACTGGGTTGAGCCACGAAGGCCCGGTGCCCGTGGTCATGGATCATGCCCAGCCCGCCCGATCGCGGAGGTTCCCCGTTCCTGGCGCACGGTTGGTCATTCCCTGTTGGGCATCGTCCCCAGCGGCCAATGCCTGTGGCGGTCCAGTGGGCACAGGGAGGAGGAGAGGCGGAGATGCCCACTCTTTGACGTCACGGGCTAAGGCCTGGAAACGGTCCTTTCCATGGCTGTCTTCTCCATAGCAGAAGCGGGGGGATG